CGTATATATTTGCAGTGTGTGACTAAGACATGAGAGCAGGATTGAGTCAAAAGCATTGGGGTAATAAATTAAGATAGCGTAAATGTTCTGGTATTTTTTAGTGCCTCGTTAAATTATCACTGAGTCAATAATGACCTGGTCCTTACCACCACCCAACCCTTCCCACCCTGAACTTTTTAATATATCTTTTTGTGTCTCATCCAATATATAATTTTCTTGCATAGTTTGTACACGTGTATGCACATATATGTATGTATACATATACATATATATATATGTATAGAGAGAGAGAGAGAGAGAGAGAAAGAGAGAACAACACAAGCTGTGAGTATTTTATATACAATACACAAAATGTAATTAATTGGCTTCTTTTTGGAGGGGTCACTGGTGTTGTGTGGTGTCTTGGGTAATGAATAGGGGTTTTCCGTCCTTTTTTTTTGGTTTTGTTTTTTTGGGGGGGTTAGGTAATGGGGTTAAGTGACTTGTCCAGGGTCACACAGCTAGTAAGTGTAACGTATCTGAGGCCGGATTTGAACTCAGGTCCTCTTGAATCCAAGATCAGTCCTCTATCCACTGCGCCACCTAGCAGCCCCAAAGTCATTCTTTTTTTTTTTTTTTTTTGCTTTTTGCTAGGCAGTTGGGGTTAAGTGATTTGCCCAGGGTCACACAACTAGAACGTGTTGTGTATTGTGTGTCTGAGATGGGATTTGAACTCAGGCCCTCCTGACTTCAAGGCCAGAGCTTTATCCACTGCTCCACCTAGCTGCCCCCTGTCCTTCGTTTTTGAAGAGGATCAATGACATCATGAGGTGATGTTGTGTCGTAGGTGAACTGGATTTAAGTGAGACAGAATTGCACAAAGTCGTCAGCCTCACTCTCCTTCCCGAGTCATCGAAGTCCAGTGGCAGGACAAAAATCAAGACTGGTGATGGTCTGGAATGCAATGGATGATCTTGATGTCTTCAATGCTAAGCACCCCACAGCATAATAAATACATGACAATTTATATTAAGAAAGATGAGATAAAAAGGACCCATATATAAGAAAATTTTGTAGTAGCTTTTTTTTATTTGAAGAAGAAAGAGTTGGAAATAAAGTAGAAACCCACCAACTGGGGAATAGCCAGGGCTGTGCTGGAGCCAGCTCATGCCCTCACAAGATCTGAGAGTTAAAATTTCAGTGTGAACATTCACACCTCAGAAACTGGCAAATGTTACAAATCAGGGTTTGATTTATTGTTTTGTTGGTTGTCTAGACTTAAGAAAGTGATGGCAAAACCATTAATAATGCAGATTAGCCAAAACTCTGATGGAATTGAATCCACAAATACAGTCACAGTACCACTACAATAGGACTATGATGTAAGAACACTTGAATCATAGAGTACGGAATTTTATAAAATGTCCAGGTAAAAGAAAAGGGCAAAGTTGTATCAGTTTTCTGCGGTTTGCAAACAATCACAAGGAAAGGAAGGTGTTACAGAAATAGAAACAGAGTGTCTTTTAGCTGCTCGGATGGAGGATTGCAACATGAAACACCTACCTCTCAGCACGGCAGCCATTCAGACAAGAGCTTCAAGTCTATTTAAGGCAGTGAAAGAAATGAAAATGAAGTGGGCAGTGAAGAAACTTTTAATGCGCACATTGGCCAGATTGCTTGCTTTAAAAATCAGGTTCAATTGCATAATGTAAAAATTACCAGAAAGGCCAGCCAGGACATATAAGGACATACAAGGCAGCTTGGTGACAGGGTGGATAGAGCACCAGACCTCGGCCAGGAAGACTGGCTTCAGACACTTCCTCCTAGCTGGGTGACACTGCTCAAGTCACTTAACTGCCTCAGTTTCCTCAATTATAAAATGGAGACAATAATAACCCCTACCTCCCAGGGTTGTTGAGAGAATCAAATTAGGTAATAATTGTAAAGTGCTTAGCACAGCATTTGGCTCATAGAATTTTTTTTAATATTTTATTTTTTCCTCAATTACATGCAAAAACATTTTTAATATTCACTTTTAAACACATAGTAAGCGTTACGTAAATGTTAGTTTTTATTATTAGCTAGGGCATTTAGATGGCGCAGTGGATAGAACTCCAGCCTTGAAGTCAGGAGGACTTGAGTTCAACTCCAGCCTCACACACTTACTAGCCGGGTGACCCCGAGCAACTCATTTAACCCTGTTTGCCTCAGTTTCCTCATCTGAAAAATGAACTGGAGAAGGAAATAAAGACCACTCCAGTATCTTTGCCAAGAAAACCCCAAATTGGGGTCACAGAGAGTCAGATGTGACCAAAACAATTCAACAACAACAAATCAGGCAGTTAAATATTCTGATGTTTTGTAGAAAATAATCAAGGAAGGCAGATACATTGATTAACAAACTTTTAACGTAGATGAAACAGGCTTATTCTGGAAAAGGATGCCTTGTAGAACTTACATTTCTAAGAAAGAAAAAATTCCATCTGGATTTAAAGCATCCAAGGATTGCCTAACACTTTATTGGGAGATAATGCAAAAGGGGATTTAAAATTAAAACCACTGTTTATTTATTGGCCTCTAAATCCTTGGGCTGCTGCACCCATTAAGATGCTTTCAGGTCTTTGAGAGTCAAAAAATAAAAAAAGTACGGGTGACTAAAGCTGTTTTCAAAGACTGGTTTGCCCAGCTGTTAAAAAATATTGTAGGGACAATAATATTGCATTTAAAGCATTGCTGATTTAAGATAATGCCCCCAGGTCATCCAACTACACTTGGTTCATTGTGTAAGAATGTAAGCATGTAAATTTCCCAAGATGTGTGTGTATAAAGATTTTTAAAAAGAGAAAACCCTGCAGGGATGGGGAACCTGCCTGCTGCCTCAAGGCCACATGTGGCCCTCTAGGTCCTCAAGTGTGGCCTTTTGACTGAGTCCAAGTTTTACAGAACAAATCCTTTCATCAAGGGGATTTGTTCTGTGAAGTTTGGATTCAGTCAAAGGGCCGCATTTGAGGACCTAGAAGGCCACATGTGGCCTCAAGGCCGAAAGTTCCCCAGCCCTGGGTCTATGCTGCTAAAATATCTTAAAGGCAATAACAGCATTTTAATTGTATTATCAGTGTAGGCTTATCTTTAAATATGACATTAATTATTTTTGTTTTAATTTTTTAATTTTACTTTAAAATAAAGTGCTTTAAAATACTTTTAATATTTTCTTTACATCTGTTCTAATAGCAGATACATTTTGTAATTATTTTGTAACAAATTAACCAGAAATGCATTTTTCATATCCTTTGCTATTCTGTTAAATTAATAAAGATAGATTATTTTGACAGGTTTCATTGTGTATTTCCATTGGGCTGGAACAAATTGAGATACTTTACATATAATTATAACTTTGAATAGTACCACCGCTTCATGAAATTCATTATTTGCACTAATCAGGACTTAGCTATAGAATTAAATTAAAAAAAAAAAAAGAAACAGGAAAAAAAATGTTGCTAGTAATTCATGCACCAGTGCGAAGCCTTTCAGACAATGCTCATGGATATTGTCCCATCCTTCCACGTTCTGATTTGTAGAGAAGTTACCTTTTCAATCACCGTCTCCCTTGACATAACCATTCTGTTGCTCATTTTATTAACGCTAAGTAAGTTTCCTAACTGTCACTCGATTCAATCGGCAGTTTCATTGTGTTAGATTTCTTGAAACCACATAAAGATCTCTCATCTCATTCCTGCATGGTTTGACCTTAACCATTTCACAGGCTCCGGCCAGAGCAAAACCACTTTTGGTCAAACTCTGCAAATCCAATAGCAGCTCTGGATTGGCATCTTCTGTTATTTCTCTGGGAATTAATGTCTGTTTGTTCCAGAAATATTTCTGTAAGCACTTAGGCACATAGTAAGCACTTAATAAATGCCTTTTCATTCATTAGTTCCTTCATTCGTTTTTAACCTGTTGTGTGCTCTGAAAATATTCATAGCAGCGTTCTTTATCTTAGTAGTGTATCCTAGAACCTTGGGCAGTCTGGTAATGCCTCTGGACCCCTTCTCAGAAAAATGTTTTTAAATGTATAAAATACATAGGATTACAAAAAGAACCAACTATATTGAACTAGTTATCATTATCTGTCTTCATATATATAATCTATATCTATCCATCTATCAACCTATTTATCCACCTAGGCATCATCTATCCATCCATATCTCTCTGTCTCTGTCTCTGTCTCTCTGTCTGTGTGTGTGTCTCTTTGTCTCTCTGCCTCTGTCTCTCTGTGTCTCTGTCTCTCTGTGTCTCTGTCTCTCTGCCTCTCTCTATCTCTCTGTCTCTCTCTCTGTCTCTCTCTGTCTCTCTGTCTCTCTCTGTATTTCTCTCTGCCTCTGTCTCTCTGTGTCTCTGTCTCTCTCTGTCTATGTTTCTGTCTCCCTCTGTCTCTCTCTGTCTCTGTCTCTGTCTCTGTCTCTGTCTCTGTCTCTCTCTCCGTTTCTGTCTCTGTCTCTCTCTGTTTTAAAAACCGAGTTCACACACCTCAGGTTCAGAAGCCTTCACCTCTATTATGAATCTTCACATTCCTCTTGGAATCAGGAATATTAACCCTAGCACAGTCACTCTAGGGTGATGAACCCTGTTTTTCATTAATATCGTACAGGTTTTTGTTAGGATCCAATTCCATATCTTTCGTGGCCCGTCTCATGCTCCCACAACCCACGTTCAGGCTAGTGTTGCTCAGGTGCTCATTGCTTAAATGCCTTGCCCTCAGCGAGCCATGATTTCTGGCTGCCAGTCTCCGGACACGTACACAATTACAGCTTTGTCCTCAATAGCACCACTATTGTTATTGCTCCTGTCGCTGGGTTTCTGTGGCTGGCCCCGACACGGCCAGATTCACCGTCTCCCATCTGGCAGTTGCCCCTTTAAGGAACCGGGCCCAGACCTGCTGATGCTTCTGCAGGAGCTCCCCTGGGCCGAGAGGCAGGAGGACCAGAGCGGTGATGTCATCGGCAGCCTCCCCAGCTACGACGCAGGCTCCTTGAGCTGGAGAGATGGTGATGCTGCAGGAGGGACAGCAGCCAGAGCCTGGGCCTAGGAAGCACAGCCTGGGATGAGGCAAGTCAATCAAGCAGCTCTTGAGAAGGGATGCTGCCCCCTTTCATCACAGGTACCACCATTTCCTACTGCACCGACCACCTTCCCCCACCCCCACCCCAAGCTTCCGAGGATGCCAGGGGGAAGAGTGATGCTTCCTAGCTAGGCCCCTGAGCAGGAAAAAGCTACCCCCAAAAGGGGGGACTGGAGGTTCGGCAGGGGGACACCTTTGTCCTTTGTTGATTATTTCTAATGAATTTCATTGTCAGCAGAGAGATCTCCCAGCAGCCCTCTGCTGAGCAGAAATATTCAGCTAGGAGAGACAAGGAGCCTTCTGGAGACAGCTGTTTTTTACACCAGGAAATTAAAGTCATGGGGGGATGGAACGATAGAAGGAGCCGGGAGATTGTAGCTCTTGCCCCATTGGTGGAGCAAGAAGGTTCCCCCCATTCCCTAACCAGGTTAAGCTGGCTTTGAACCCTGCAACCTCGAGTTCACCCAGGGTCCTTTGACAGACAGTCAGACAAACCTCCACCACTCCCCTCCTTTTGCTGGCATCTCAGAGCTGAGCTTAGCAAATGCCATCCAGTTTTGGTGATTCCTTGAATTAAGAATAGCAGAAAGACTGGATTTTGGCTGGTAAAAAAGAGGGTGTGTGTTGGGGGTGGAGGTGTGTACCCATCTCTGATTTTTCAAACATGCGGGTCTCCAAATTCAATTTAACTTATCTCCAGGTAGAAAGAGTGTCTTTAAAATACCGGATACTTTCATGGCTATCTTTGATTTCCTATTGACCTCATTACTCAGCATTTATTGGGGAGGCCGAGAAAAAAGGGTACAAAGAGCTCTACAAGACAGAAGGAAAGATTGCTAAACAGGAGACTCTCGGAGTGAATTGACTGACGTGTCTGGAAGACCCAGGGCGTCCCCAAAGGAGAAATGAACTACTGCCCACGAGCCAGACAGTCACCACTTTTGCAAATCTTACCTGCACCTGTCTTTAGGCACCAGAGCTGGTCTGGGAAAGGTTTCTTAGAAGAAGGAACTTTTGAATGAGGCTTGGCCATAGGAGGAGGGACTCAAGTGAAATGATTACCTGTGATGGTGTAGTGTGAGGGTACAGAGGGGGGGTCTTCTGCGTTTGAAGAGACCGTGGGGGAAGAAATAGAGAAATGGAAGCAAAATTTCCTTTCAGGACAATTTTAAGCATTAAAAAAAAAAAAAAGACACAGGTGTGGCCCACTTCCATTAATATGGTTTGAGATGCTGTCTTCCTCCAGTAAATCTTAAGGCATTTCATAAGCTCAGTGATTTCCTTGCACTAAGAAAGGGTTCTCCCCAAAGTGTCTGGCCTCTTGGGGGCCAGAGGCTTCAGTGTGTTTCCTGTTGATTGTGGAAAAGCTTGTGTGAATACTAGCTAGTATTTCTAGGTCTGCAAAGGGCTTTGTCATAGGTTCCTCATTCGATTCTCATAAAAAACCCTGTGAGGTCAGTGCTATTGTTAACCTCATTTTCCAGAGAAGGAAGAGGAGGCTCTGTGACCTGCCCAGAATCAAATTGTTAAGTAGTATCCTAGGGCAGTATTTGAACTCAGATCTTCCTGATGTCAATTTCTGGGCTCTATAAAGTGTGCAGCTCCCCCTCCTAGCCTCCTGGGGTAGCTTAATGAGGACGATCTGAAATAGGAGACAAAAGGTGAATTTCTGATCTGAATTAGCATGTAGAATTCTGTTTGGTCTTAAAAAAAAAAAAGTCAGGATAGCCTAGTTCTAATCTGATTAGATTTGTGGTGGATTTCCACTTCCACCTCCAACCACCATTTACTTAGATTCGAATATGAAAAACTGTAGGGTTTCTTTTTTCAAGTAAACTTTCTCAGGTATAGCTTTGATCTAGTAAGGATGTTTTATTATCATCATAGGACATTATATTCGCCCTATCACAATAGGTTAGCTAGATGGTACAGTGGCTAGAGCACTGGGCCTGGAATCAGGAAGACCTGGGTTGGAATCCAGCCTCAGATATTTACTAGCTGTGTGACCCTGGGCAAGCCGCTTAACCTCAGTTTCCTCATCTGTCAAATGGGGATGATAATAATAGTACCTATCTCCCAGGGTTGTCATGAGGATGGATCAGGTGAGATAATAATTGTAAAGTACTTAGCACATAGTGCTTTATTATTAATATAGCTATTATTATATTAGCTATTATTATTCATCCCCAAGTAAGAAGAGTAACCCAATGATAAAAATCTCACTTCATCATAGGATCCTAGAATGAGAGCTGGGAGAGAACTTAAGAGAGTAATTCCAACTCCCTTCCTTTTACAGATAGGGAAACTGAGGCATAGAGAGGTCGACTTGGGGCAGAAGTGGGATTAGAATGTAGATGCTGTGATTACAAGGTCACATTCCTTTTTCACTTAGGCTCAACCTAAATTCTTGTTTGTTTGACATGAGGATCTGGCCTCTGCGTGTAAATCTAGTGAGTTTCTAAAATGGTTTAGCACAAAATATCATGGCATCTAAGGACCATGGCATTGGTATAATAATAACAACTAGCATTTGTAAAGCACTTTACAAATGATCTCATTTGATCCTTACAACAGGCCCTGAGAGGGAGGTACTGTTGTTATCCCCATTCTACAGATGAGGAAGCTGAGGCAAGTAGAGGTGAAGTGACTTGCCCAGAATCACACAGCTAACTAATGTCTGAGGCTGGATTTGAACCCAGGACTTCCTGACTCCAGGCTTAGCGTTCTATGCACCGCCATCTCGAGGTCTTAAGGTCCTGGTAAAGGACCATCTAGGGCAACCCATACTTGAAAGAGAATCCTTCTCTCACACACCCAGAAGCAGCCGTTGAATCTTTGTGAGTGAGGGGGAGCTCCCCGTTTCCCAACACAACCAAGTCCATTTGAAGTTCGTGCTTCCATTGAGCTGAACTTGGCTTCTTGGCTTCTAGCGCTCACGGCAGCTTCCACCCAGGCAAGACAAGTCCCAACCCTTCCTCTCGCAGTCCTTCAAACGTTCGGTAATAATAGCTCACATTTATAAGCGCTTCGAGGTTTGCGAAGCACTAAATAGAGATGATTTTATCGAATCCTCACAGCAGCTCTTGCTAAAACCCCCATTTTGCAGATGAGGAGACCGAGGTCCACCAAGTCAGATCCCTTGCACAGGCTCACCCAGATGGAAAGTGTCAAACCCAAGCCTCTCTCATGGCAGGATCACACCCTTCTCACTTCATTGGCTGTCTTCGCCTGAGAAGAGCCATCATTGTCAGTGGGGAGATCTCCCAGCAGCCCTTTGGGAACAGAAGTCTTCAGCTAGGAGAGACGGGGAGCCTTCTGGGGACAACTATTTTTTACACCAGGAAATTAAAGCCATGGGGGCGTGGAGAGGAAGAATGGAAAGGTAGAGGAAGGAGCTGAGTTTGTGAAACAAAAACTTTAACATTATCTGCATTGGCTCTGAAGATCAGCCTTGCTTTTAAACCGTAAGGTACCATAAAACACTTAGCAGACGCTTTTAAGCTTTAAACTACTATGTCGATGTGATTTATTATTACTGCAAGTTTCATCTTTGTGGAACTCCCACTGTGGGAACTCCTTCCACCAAAGCAGATTGCCACCTCAATTATCTTTTTTTCTCAGAGAGTTGCATGGTGGCACTTAAAGGTTAAGGGACTTGCCCAGGGTCACACAGCCAGTATTTGTCAGAAGTGGACTGAGGAAGGCCTGCTCATTTATACTACACTGTTTCTATTATGTAATACCAGTGCATATTATTGTGATTAATTAATAATTACAAAAATAGGGTCAGTATTATTATATTATTAATGTTAGGCAGCTAATGGATAGAGTGCTGGGTCTGGAATCAGAAAAACCTGAGTTCAAATCCAGCCTCAGATACTTAGTAGCTGTGTAACCCTGGGCAAGTCACTTAACCCTACTTGTCTTCATTCGCTGGAGAAAGAAATGGCAAACTATTCCAGTATCTTTGCTAAGAAAATCCCATGAAAAGTATTGGCATGCTATGGTCCATGGGGTATGAAGAGTCAGACATGACCCAACAACAACATTCGTGTTAATACAATTATAATAATGATGGATATCATGTAGCAATACTATAATCATATAATATTTTATGATTCATAATAATATGTGATTGATATAATAATGATTTATATTAGGATAGCAATGTTAGTGATGACAATATTGTTTTATTATAATCATATTAACATGATTATAACGATAATTATCTAGCTTAATGTCGGGTACTTAGAAACTTCCATGCCTCCATATTTCCCTGTAAGTTTGATAATGCCTATTTTTTTTTTAAAGAAGCCTTTTAAAATCAGTAACTACAAATCTGACTTAAAATTCAAATACTATTGGAAGAAACCAAAGAATGCTGTCAACCCATAAGAAGTTGGAAAAGACTCAAGGATCTGACCCTTTGCCAAACAGGCTGGGGAATATGAGGGAAGGGTGGACTAGTGAAAGGCAAGGAGGGCTAGGGTGGAGAAAGGGTGGAGCTGAGGGCCTGAAGAGCTTTGCTTACTGAGAAAGGAGAGTGGAGGCAAGGCATGTGGCTGTCCCTGCCTCCCTCCTACGAAAGGCCGCATGTCCACTGGATGTGGCTTCTGAAAAGACGTTGGATAATTTTATTCCTGTCTTGTTTTCTTTAGTCTTTTCAGTCCTGTCTGACTCTTCGTGACCCCATTTGGGCTTGGTTTGCCATTTCCTTCTCCAGCTCATTTTACAAATGAAGAAATTGAGTTAAACAGGGTTAAGTGACTTGCCCAGGGTGACACAGGTGGTAAGTATCTGAGGCCACATCTCAACTCAGGTGTTCCTGACTCCGGGCCCAGTGCTTTATCCATTGAGTCATCTAGCTGCGCCATTTTTATTTCTTACTGGCATTATTATTAATCTGATCCAGATAAATCTCCCATATGGTCATGAGAGCCACTGATGTCTGAAAATGAAACTGATCAATGCGGAAAATATTTTTGGGGGGAGGAGGTAGTGGCAAATATCATAGGATGGGAAGAAACTGAAGACACAGC